GATGGGGCGCGCAAGCTTGTGTGTAGGGTGATGCAGGGGGGCCGCGCGGGATGGGGGGGCGGTGCCGTGCCGAAAAAGAAGGGTCGGGACGGAGGGGGCGCGCTGGCCGGTGGTTGGGGTGATGTGGAGGGGGAGGCGGCGCGGGATGGGAGGGGGGCGGTGCCGTGCCGAAATGAAATGAATGGGTCGGGCTGGGGGGGGGCGTGTCGAAATTCAAGGGGTCGTGGCGCGGGTCGTGGCGGAGGGGGCGTGCTGGCTGGCGGATGCGGGGACGCGGCGGGGATGCGGGCCGGAGGGGGCGCACTGGCTGGTAGGTGGGAGGATGCGGAGGGTCGAGAGGAAGGGGAGCGCGCTAGTTGGTGTGTTGGGAGGGTGCGGAAGATTCGCGCGGGATGGGGAGGGCGGTGCCGTGCCGAAAGAAAGGAGTCGGGGCGGAGGGGGTGTTCTGGCTGGTGGGTGGGAGTATGCAGAGGGGGCGCGCGGGATGGAGGGGGGCGGTGCCGTGCCGAAATAGAGGAGTCGGGGTGGAGGGGGCGCGCTGGCTGGTGGATGGGGTGATGGAGGTGGCGCTCGGGATGGGGGAGGCGGTGCCGTGCCGAAATCGGGGCGGAGGGGGCGCGCTGTATGGTGGGCGGGTTGATGCGGAAGGGGCGTGCGGAGTGGGGGGGGGGCGTGCCGAAATAAAAGGGGCGGAGGGAGCGCGCTGGCTGTTGGTCGGGGTGATGCGGAGGTGCAGCGCGGGATGGGGGGGCGGTGCCGTGCCGAAATAACATGCTCGGAGCTCTAGACACCCTGTGCAAGATAATAACTTACTGCTTGGAGCCAGCGCTGGTCAACATGTTATGACTACGAATGTTATCACTATTACGGGACGCCACGGGAGGGCAACGACGTTCGACCGACTCCGGATCCCATCACGAATGGGAAGCCGCGGGAACCCACGGCGCCCGACCGTCTGTGGATCCGGCTATGCACCTTCAAGCTTCGTAGAAGACATACTCTACATCACCCACAGAGAAGCTGATCAGGGGACCAACCCTTCCACCGCGTGTTTTTGTTCGCAACGCGAGGAAGTATGGGTCCTCCTCCTCATCGCTCCCCCTCGTCTCCAATGCAGCTGACCCCCAGGAGAAACGGACGAGTAAGAAGGAGGAGAAGAGGAGGCGGGGGGAGGAGGGAAAAGGGACGAGGGAGGAAGGGAGGGGGAGGAGGGGCAGGGAATAAGGGAGGGAGGGGGGGGGGCGAGAAGGAGCCGTCCCCAATCGACCCCCCGCGACCGCGTTGGAGTCGCCCCTCCCCCCTTCGAGAGGCGCCCGCGGGAGCGAGCAGCCTGCGCCGAATGCAGGAGCGCAAGCGCGCCGAGGCACCAGCCCAGCAGCAGCAGGCTGAAGGACGGCATGCCTCCGCCGCGACGATGGACGACGAACCGGGCCACCGAAACTTGGCGGACGATGCGCGGTGCCAGATCAGCTTCTCCGCCGCCGGGCACGCCTGCCCCAGGGCGGCTGAGAAGTTTAGACCCCTGCCGTGGCACGTCAGGGTGCAAAATGTCCAGCCGCCCTGGGGGCAGGCCCCGACGGCCGGAACATGTCTCTTTTATACAGTTCGGCGGCGGGCGAGGGGGGGAGGCCTCCTGAGAAGGAGCAGGCCCTCCAGCCTTCTGAGAAGTGTTCTGAGCATTCCCCGGAGGCGCAGAAGACAGAAGGCCGGAGCGCCTCTGAGAGGCCCCGCCGCCCGCTGAGAAGGCCTTTTCCCTCTCGCTTCCCCCTCTCGCTCGCCGCCGAGAGGACCCGCGCTCGCACACGGACAGCTAGCGCGCACGGAGGACGAGGGGGGAGGGGTGGTTGGCGGCGCACGTGGCATGGCCAGGTCAGTCAGCGCAGAGTCGGGAGATCGGATCGGACAAGAACGAGCGGGTTCCAGCAGGGCTCGAGCTGAACAAGGCTTTTCGTTTTCGTTTTGCTTTCGTTTTCCTTCGTTCGGTCTTCGTTCAACCTCTGCTGCAAAACGGAATCAAAACGAAAACGGCCGACGAAACCGCCAAAACGCAGTTTAGCTCGAGCCCTGGGCTCCAGAGCGTCTCCGGCGCAGCACCAAATACCAGCCTCTGATGGCCTGATGGCCCGAGACAGCCCGAGGCCCCCAAGAGCCCCCCCAAGGCAGGCCAGGAGAGCCCCGGGAAACACGAGAGAGAGCCGCCGGAACACAAGACGGCCTAAGAAGGCCCCAAGATGGCCCAAGAGGGAGGGCCCCTAGAGGGCCCTCAGGAACTTAGTGGGCCCTGGAAACGACAGGGCCGTTTTTTTACCGGTTACGTTTTGCCGTTTTTGTTGCCGGTTCCGACGCCGTTTTTTATCGGTTCCGTGGCCGTTTTTTGACCGGTTCCGGCTCTGGTTCCAATCCTGGAGCAGTTTTTTTGCCGTTTCCGGTCGCCGTTTTTTTTGCCGTTTCCATTTTCAAGGGACATGTTTCTGGAAACGGTGAAAAAACGGCCCTGCCGTTTCCGGAACCCACAAAGCTCAGGAGATCCTTCGGGCGGCCCAACTGGCTCCAAGACGCCCCAGGGCGGCCCAGGAGAGCCAGCCCCAAGGGGCCCACGAGACCGCACCACAGCAGAGCCCAAGGCAGCCCCGCGGCGGCCCGAAACGAGCCCCACTAGAACTACAGTCGGGGCCTTGACCTAAGGAACCCAAAATAAGGAACGATGCCCCTTTTTTCCATAAGTTAAACTTCGATTTCCGATCGAAAACATAAGGAAGACCTGAGGCAAGCTGTGAAACACTTAAGGAACGCGGAGCCCCTCCCCAACGAAAAGGGTTCCTTCTTCAGGGCCCCGACTGTAGAGCTCCTGGGCTCCTAGCGAAAACGCACCACTAGAATCCATGGGAATGCAGGAGCCCCAGATCTGGAGCCCCACGACATTGAAAACGTATAGCAAGGACGCGCGGTAAGGACGCAAGACCCTTGGGGGCCGAAATTGAAGTATTCTGGCCTGCAAATTTGCTCGGGACAGGCCGCAGAGGCTGAGGCAGGCAAGGACCCAAGGGTACCCTTGAAAAAACCGTTTGTCCTAACTATGCGCGTTGACTGTAGAACCCGTAGGAACACAACGTCTATAGGAAGACCTGGAGACGAGAGGCGTCAGCATGCAGGGCCGTGCTCGACGGGTCGCCACGCAGATTGTCTCACTGGCGCGGTGGCGGATCTGCTGCAAGCACCTGGATCCCTGGATGTAACGTAGCATGGCTGCGATGCTCTTGCGCTGCGTGCGGTGGGCCAGATCGCGACGAGCCATAATAGGTCACACCTGCGCAGTGGTCCCTCTTACTGAAGCGTGAAACTGAGCCAGACTCAGCACCGAAGAAATCAAAGCGCAGCTCTCTCAGGAATGGGGACCGGAAGTGAAGGGGAGGAGGAGGAGGAGGAGGAGGAGGAGGTTCACCGCCCATAGAGGGAGAGTCAAGGAGAGAGAGAGAGAGAGAGAGAAAGAGAGAGAGGGAGGAAAATTGGGGTCAGGGGCCCATCTGACGAGAACTGTTCCCGCCCGAGGCTGCGACCCACCTCGGACGGGCCCAGCCGACAACGCCCCCTACCCCCCAGAAACTTACACTTCAGCCTCTGAGTCTCAGCGGCACCCGCCCCCCTGGCCTGGGTTGAGGCTCGGTCCAGGAGCCCCTGTCGACCAAGCTCTTCCGCTTCTGCCCTGGGGCTGAATCCACAAGCGAGCTGCACAGATCGATGCCAAGGCGCGGGGCCACGGCTTGCTTCGAAAAAGGAACGACCCTCTGCGCTCTTGGAGCCGCAGCCGCCCCGACAGGGGCCTCCCCGAAGTGCCAGGAGAAACGGCCCCTGGTTTCCTCCGACGGGGCCTCCGAAGGCTCGAGCGCCACGACAGGGTGAAAAACAAGGTGGATGACTTCATTCAGCCTTTTCCTGGCAGTGTACGCTGACCCCCCCGAGGCCCCTTGCAAGTCCCAGTGAGACCTCGCTGCATCGGGGTGGTCGCATGCTGCCAGCAAGACGGGCAATGGATATTAATCGGCGAGTCATTCGGCACAGAAATCTGAATCACCACGTCGCCGTTCACCCGCCATGGCTGGACATCTTTGTCCTGAAGCCACTCGGGGTCCCATGGGGCGGGCCCTGGGGGATCCCCAGCAGCAGCACCAGCAGGAGGCTCAGGAAAAGGGGATACCAAATCACTGGACTCCGCCTCAGGAGCATCAGGAACATCTTAACCGTGGTAATTCAAAAACCCAAGCCGGTCCTCTTGAGGTATTCAACCCCCACATTGCCCCGAAGTTCAGCCTTGGTCACCGAGGCCGACAGCAGGGCAGAAAACTTGGCCGCTAGCTTCGCAATCAACTGGCATCTCTCGACCAGCTCGACATCGGCGATGGCAGATCGAGCCAACGCCGCTCCTTTTTTACAAAACTGTCGTCAACATGGTCGCCGTCTCGGTCGAACGTGGAGATCAGGTCGCGCTCGGCACTCACGTCCGACGCGTGGGCCTTGACATGCTCGAAGGGCCGAGCGCAAAAGTCTTCGGTCACGTGTACCTGCCTCCACAGGTGGGTTCGCGGATTGCACGAAGACGTTGACATGGCAGGAGACTGGCAGCATCTTACTGTACCCGTACAACCAATCCGCGCCGAATACATGCCCAGAGCCTTCTCGGAGCAAAAGCTTCGCCGTCTCGGGCCGAGTCCGAGATCCCGAACTCTGGTGGCACAGCTCCGAACAGGGCACCAACGTAGCGCCGCTGGCTGTCTTGCAGCACCGCGCTCCAACCCGCGACGCGCAAAGTCGGGTGGTGCTGGCCCAGCCCTGAGCCATCCGCGAAAGCATATCCTCCTTCGAAGATGAAAGGCAGCTCGAGAGATCCGTGGGCCCACAGACTCCAGCCCGGGTCGAAAGGAATCCTAGAGACGCACTGACCAGGCTCAGGGAACAAACCTCTCGCGAACCTTTCCTTCCAAGCTGTGGGGCTATGTGTAATCCTGCAACAGACCTAGACAGCGCAGTGTGCATGCAATCCAGTCTGGACTACTTGTGGGCGGGGCATGCGTAGCATCGGTGAAACATCGTCCCTCTAGTCTCCTGACACAATTGACAAACGTCTGGGGGGGTTGGCTTATGATCGTGGAGTCTCCCTTGCGTCCAGTGGGACCCCGAGACCAGACCCCGAAGCGAATTTTGTTCATGGCAATCCCAGGTGTCCGACCAGTCAGAAAACATGAGCTCCAGAAGCGGCCCCCAGCACAGACCCGATGCCCGAGCATCGTCCTGAAGTATGAGGGCCCTTACGTCCGAGGCTCGTCGGGCCGCGAACGAGATCTGAGCAGCGATGCGAGCAGGCGAATCAAACACGAAGGTCCCAGTCCACCCCCCGATCATCCATCGCCGTCACCGCATCCCTAAGGCGCCAGCCTGCACGCTGGGCCGTGATGGCCACCGCCCCCACAAGGTCTTTGCAGGTCACCCATGGCCCTTCTGCGGCAACACTCTTGTTGGCAGCAGTGACTGGAGCCTCCAGGACAGCTCTCGGAAATTGGCCTACGCCGACGCAGGAAACTTCACACTATTGGCGCACCGAGCCGGCCGTTGATAAGATCAGAGGGTCTCGCCTCCAACCTTGACGCCCGCTGCCCAAGTACAGCCCCGCCGAACTCCCCCGAGGGAATCTGCCTTCCGCGTGAGCCGCCAGCACCCTGAAGCCGTGGAGCCTGGTGTCTCTTAGACCAAGAGCGCACGTGCCCCACATGGCAACCGCAGTGGGACCTGACCGATGTATGCGAAAAGCTGTGGCACCTGCTCCCTGGAGGGTTCGCAGTTTGATCGCACGCCTCTTGGCAGATAAATACCTATCGAGGTGAGTCGAAATCCTCCGAAACCGCCCGTCCGACGCATCCCCCCCCAGGTTTCTGTGCGCCGCTTCCCTGCTGTCGGCCAGCTCGGGGGGCAGCTCTTCTGCATGCGCCTAGCGAGCGAGTTAGAGTTAGCCAGCACCCCTGCCTTGTGCCACGAAATCGGGAGGCCCTTGGCCTTCACCTCTGAAGCCACAGCACTGAACGCCAGACCTAATTGCCTCCACACTGTCGCCTCGCCACCGACTGCGTGCAAGGACACATCGCCAGTGACGTTCTTAATCGTGACGATCGGGGCCTCAAGGTGGGCCCTCTTGAGAACAACCAGCACAAAGACCTTGGCCAAGGTCGTCGCACACGAACAACCTGCCACCACTGCGCCGTTGGATTCCAGAAGTTTGCCCGTGCCCGCTTGGAAAACCGGACGTCGCTCCGCCCTATGAAGGCAGCGTAAGCCTCGCAAAAGGCTCTCTGGAAAGCCCACATGGGCCGCCGCGGACCTGAGTTCCAGATGGGAAATGTTCTTCGCATCTAAGAAAGCTGAGCCAGACGCCAGGTGCCTGAGCCTCAAAACAGGTCCGAAGCATTGGGAGGAGGAGGAGGAGGAGGAGGAGGAGGAGGAGGAGGAGGAGGAGGAGGAGGAGGAGGAGGAGAGGGACGAGGGGGGAGGATGAGGAGGCGGAGGAACAGCATGAGTATGAGGGGGGACGGCAACGAACACGACGACGACGACCGCGACGCCGCCCCCGAGGACGACGACACGGCCGAGCAGACGGGCGGAGATGCAGACGGGCCAGGCCAGCTGCAGCAGAATGAAGCCCTGGAGCCTGGGGGGCGGAGCAGGTGCCGCGCCCTTCCTCCCTCCTCCCTCCCGCCTGCTCCCCCTCCCTTTCCTCCCCCCCTGCTCCCCTCTCCTCCCTCCTCATCCATCCTCCCCCCCTCCTCCCTCCTCCTCCTCCCTCCCCCCTCACTGGCTTTAGGCCACCGCAATACAATACCATATCTCCCTCCTCCCTCCCCCCCCATTCCTCCCTCCTGCTCCCCTCCTGCCTCCTTCCTCCCCCCCCCTCCTCCCCCACTCGCTCTCAGCCTCTCAGCGGAAGAGGAGACTGCGCACGCCATGGGCTCCGAACCCGTCTTCCACCGCCTCCCCCTCCCGGCCTCCCCCCCTCTCTCTCACCCTTGCGCAGCTCCGCAGGATCCGCGGCACTCAGGAGCGGCGTGGCTTCTTCGGAAGCATCGTCTTGAACCGCCCCTCCCGCTCAAAGGGCATCTCTCTCGCTCACATAGTTGATCCTCACGCAAGCGTGTTGGTTCCTGACCCTTCTGTTCCTCCTCTCTGGAACTTTCCACAGGGCCCGCTCCCAAGCCCACGCAGGAGGCCTCCTTTCGGAGACGGCCATGGGTCCATGTCGAGCCGAAGCAACAGCCGCACTGGGCCCCTCCTCCACCTCCACGGCCCATGCTGCAGCCCTCCTCCAAGGTCGCCCAGAGAACCTCCTCCTCTACTGAGCTCGGGGCGGTGCCCAAGACCTCTCCTGCAATCAAATTTCTTCCCGCATTTCCTCGCGTCCGCCAGGAATGCATCTACTCAATTTCTTTCACCAGGCCAATCTCCCCACCTCCAGCAGCCCTCCTCCTGTTCCGCTTCGCGTTTTGGGGGACGATCCCCCGTCCCCCCCGCCCGGTGGGAGGAAGCGCACTCCATCGGTACGTGCCCAGCAACCTCCCGAGGCTTGGCAGGGGAACTCACCTCACCTTTTGATGAACCCACTATGTCTTTTCACCATCCACTTCCATTTCTCCCCATGGTCTCACAAACCACATGGGCCAAACGTGTTAAGAGGACCACCCCAGTTGGAAAGGAGTTCCCGGGCCAGGACGTGGACATGCGTCCAAGGATCCAAGACGATGCCTTGCCATGGGATCATGATCGCCTGCATGATCTCAAAAGGGATGTCTCAGCTTCGCCTTCCATTACTCCAACGGAGAAGACTCCGTCCATAACTCCTACGAAGAACATGCATGAATCGCCGCTCTTGGTCGAGGAATCGGTATAGCCAAAATCATCCGAGGGATTGTGCGGCTTCCTCGCGCGGCGGAACTCCGCGAAGAAGCTGCAATTCCGCATGATCCGCAAATCCAAAGCGACGTTTGAGGGAAGAGAATTTGGTCTTACACGTCTTGCTACCGCATTGCAGGTGCCGCGGCCACCATGGGGCCACAGCACGTGAGGGCCACGGGCGAGGGCCGTTCCTCCATCTAGCCGCGGAACACCGATGAGGTGCAGGAGACCGAGGCCCCCTCAACCTCCAAGAGGCAGCGCTGTTCCGATTGCTCCCCCACATCCCCCGCTCAGCATCGGGCCCGCACGTCTCACCGCAGCCGTTCCATGGCCTGCTAAAAGGCCAAACTTGCATGCCATCCCGCTCTGTCCGCCTTTTACTTATGAGGCGCCCAACGGTGAGGACTGGTGGCGCACACCGGACGACCTCCTGCCCTTGCTTTGACTCCTACTCTAACCTTTCTCAACGCTCCTCAGTGATCTGCCTCCTTCCTCAATTCCGGAGTAGATGGAGGCTGCGGGACCGCCACTAGGACCCCCAGCAGCCCGACAGTCAGGCGCGCAAGGCGCGTCTCTTCCTTTCTCCCCCCGCTTCTCTTTCTCATCCTCCATCCCGACGTGCCATAGCCATTCCTGCCCGAGCGGAAGCAACGAAGCGATTGCAGACCCTCCGGCACCGAAACGTCCACCTGCCACGCGGCTCCTCCGATCCGTGCGCCGCCTCTCTCCAGCCTTCCGGGCGTTGGCACAACTGGGTTTAGTGGGGGATTGGTTTAGTCTCGAACCAACCCCCCACTAAACCCAGAACTGCCGTCACCCGAAAAAACACCAGCTGCGGCAGACCTGGTTCAGTGATTCTGGCAAATCTAGGGGCTCCAAGGCCCTACTATACCTGGGGTCATGGCTATACAGAGCCTTTTCCAACAGGCGACTCCCGAGGTGGCACGCCGGTGCAGGGCTGGCGCTAGCACCGCGCCACGCGCACTGGCGCAAAAATGGCTTCCGACCAGCCGCGCCGCCACCTGGAGGCTGGCCGACGGCTCGGGCCATCCTGATTTTTCACTGCGCCGACCTTGCAGACGTGCTGCATCGAATTGTTGCGTGGACGTCTGCCAATGCAACATTCCGAAACGGCGACCGAAAAAAACAACTTGAATTTCACGTGGATTGCTTGTAGTCTTCATTCCCGGCCCCGGACAGAATCCGCACAAAATTCACTTCGAAATCCGGAACGAAGTTCTCCAGGTGAGCCCATCCCAGATTTTTTCCGTGCGACATCCGCTCTGCGATGTGGGCGCCATGAGATTTTTTGACCCGGACCTCAGCCTCTCCAGGCAACGAGACCCGGACCTGGGGACGGATCCGCGCTCCTGGCCGTGCCACACCGTCCTCGGTGGCGGCGCGGCGGAAGCCAGAGCGGAGAGGCGAAGGCCGAGCCAGAGCCTGCAAACTTCAAGCGCCCCAGGGCCTGAGGCGAGGGAGCCCATGCCCAAGCGATCCAAATCCTCCCAACGAGCGAAATGGATCGCAACATGGGAAGGATGGACGGGTTCTTGATATGGGCTGGGTGATGGGACTCAGGTACACATTCCCTTGGCCGAGTGGCGGGCCAGGCAGCTACGCCTACCTCATAATTCCTCCCACTTGTAGATTCCTCGCTTCTTGCCTGCCTCCTCCTCTGGAATCAAGCTCGGAGCCTTGCCTGCATCTGTCGGCCGCAAACTAGAAGGAATAATGGGAAGGCTAGCGCGCTCATCTCTAGCTTAACGATGCTGGGGCACGCAATGCGTCTCTTGTCTTGCATATGTGCATCAGGTACCTGAGGGGGAGATGCCAGGGGCAGGGATGAGACGCGTTCACAAGCATCTCTGTTCTAAAAAAAAGCACAGAGCACAGTGGCTCCGCATTCGCCCTTCATTCCAGAGGAGCATGCCCAGTCGCGTTGAGACTGGAGTCCTACATCATTGCCTGTACGTCGCTCCTCCCTTTGGCCTCTTTTCCCGATCTCGCGGTCGAAGCAATATATTAGATCATCTTGGATGCGTCGTCCCACGTATTATTGTTCGGCAAGACCCTTGCCCATATCCTCTTTGCTCTCCTGGTTTTGCATGCCCTGGCGATCTCACACGTCCCCCAAGGAGGTCTTTGGGAGGTCGTCATGTCACTCTCAGACGTGGCCTCTGCACGGTCGCGCCTCTCATGGCGTCCGTGCGCAATGTCTCTTGCCGTGCTGCGCAGACTCCCGCGCGACAGCAGGCAACACATTCCCAAGCGCACTGCGGCCGAATACCTCTTCCATTCTTACGTACTGTTCTCGTCTCCACCCAATCGAGAAAAGCTTCATGCAATCTCACACCTCCCTCAAGACGGTCTCTGGGAGGTTGCGGCGAGTTGGCCCGCGCAGCTTGTTTCCAGAGTCAACCGCCTGCGTAACTAGGATAATAGAACGGCAGACAATGACCCCAACGAAGGCGCGACTTGTTGATCAACCTTCGTATTTGTCAATCTCTTTTCGGCCGTGTGCCTGAGTTGTGCCATCTCAACTTGCTCCTGTCATTCTTGATCAGATTCTCTCGTTGTCTTCCCCTCCCTCAGCTCAAAAGGGCCAGAAGGCCACTTTCCGTTGCCTGCACAGGCACCTTCTGACGCACCCTCGCTGCAGAACGGATTAGGGCCTGACCACACCAGTCAGCCGCCTTTTGTCATAGAGGCCTCTAGAGGGTTGGCGCGTGCACGTCTCGGCGTTAGCTGCCGCCCACGGCTTCTGGCGATTGCCCTTTCTCGCCTCGCCCCCGCGCCCCCCCCCTTCCCCCTCCCCTTCTTGCGGCAGCCACCGCCGCTGCCAGGCGCGTGGCACCCTTCCACGTTCCCTTTCGCGCGAGGACGCCATACAAGTGTTGTAACGCCAGGCTGGATCCAAAGTCCTCCCCCGCTCCCCCCCCATCCCCCCCATCCCCCCCTCCCTCCCTCTCTGCAGAAAAGGCGAAGGGGGGCAGGAAGCTCCACCAGCACCAGGGGCGTCAGGCGGCACCGGGTGTTGGCGGCGCGCACAAATGGGTCATGGGGAAGGGGGGGAGTCTCCTAAAGAGGCTGCTTCTTAGAAGGCACCGGCCCTGCATCTGTAGGTACGGCCCGCGTCTTCTAAGAAGCAAGGATGTCTAAGGAGCCTTCCCCCTCCCCCTGCCCCCCCGACGCAGTTGGAGCGTTCGCTGCGCCATCGTTGGTCGATGATTCTCGTTGGGGCGGCCCTTCCCTGTGAGCCTCGCGGCAGGCAAACCTTAGAACTAATCGCTTGAATCATTCTCCCTTATCCTTCTACCTGCCTCCATTCCTCGTACGTCCTCCTCCCTCCCGCCTCCTCCTCCCCCTCGTCATCACACCTCTCCTCAATCATCTTCCTGCCATATACTTTATCATATTTCCCCACCCTTCTCCTCCCTCACGCTCTTCAATCTATAACACTTCTCTCCACTCCCCCTAATTGCGTAATTACTGTCCCAAGCTTGTCCCTTTAGGGCCCGCCGCTGATTCCAGGTGCTTGTCCTATTCACGACGTAGCTGGCCTTTCAAAAGTAATGGTCCCGCCGCAGCGCTGGTGACATTTTAATATCTGCGCTTTGCTCTCGCTCAGAACATCCCAACAGACATTTTGACTACATGGACTAGCGAGTTCTTCCTCTCCTCTTCTCAAGCCCTTTTCCCCTCGGGGAGGTTTTTTCTCCGCTTCCCCTCCCTGAGTTGTTGGTTTTTGTTTGGGGGTGGCGAGGTGGCAGAGGGTCCTTCAAGAAGGCCTCCAATGCTCCAAGATGGCCTCCAAGGTGGCTCCAGACATACAGCTCCAGACATACACCCAAGAGGCCCGACGAGGGCAACAGGACGGTTCCAAGTGCTCTCGGAGCCCCCATCAGGGCACCCCCTCAGAGTCCTTCAATAACCTACGGAAAAACAATGATGAGTACCTTCTCGCCTTTTCGCTTCCGGTGCGATTTCGAAGCCCCCAAGAGTGCCCCAACCTTAAAATTTGACGGCCCCAGGTGGCGGGACGGAAATTTATGACCCCCTTCCTTCGATCGATAGTCTCCAAGATGGCCTTAAGATGCCTTCCAGGTCTCCCAAGAGGGCTCCCAAGAGCCCAAGAACGTCCCACGTGAGCCTCAACAACCGGTTCGCAGGTGAAAATGTGAACAGGGTAAACCGCAGTCATGCACTCACGACTTCGACGACGAAGAAAGATGCAAGCAACACCTCGTCCAGGGAGGCTGCTGTGGCTTCTCGAGCCTCGCTCGACTTGCACCCTGACTCAAAGCCCTCTCCCCCACCCATGACCCCGAATGCTCCCACTGAGTGTCGCTAGCGAACGCAACGGCGAAGCCCAGACGGGCTGTCCAAACACAAGGAAGGTTGCGGTGAGCAGCTGGATGGCCAGAGAGGTCACCGTGAGACGGAAACAAATGTCACGGTGTTGGTGCGTGCGAGTGCATCGCAGGAGAGCGTTTCTTTATGTTCGGCGATGACGGGCGTCATGGGGGGCGGGCGGGGGGGGGGTATGACGTAACGCCCCCCCCCCCCCCGCCGTGTGACTCCGGCACCACAGCCGCGCCCGCGCGCACGACGCGACGAGCGACGAGCGACGACGACGACGACGACGACGCGAGCAGCATGTAGGTGGCGATCTGCCCCCCTGCGCCTGTGTACACCACAACGCTCGCGTGCACCACAGCGCGCGTGTACACCACAGCGCCTGCATACATCGCAACAGCCGTGTGCAACGCAGCGATTGTGTACAGTGCAAGGCTTGCGTGCACTACAGTGCCAGTGTACATGTGCACACCGGAAGCAACCATGTGCAACACAGCGCCTGTGTACACCACAATGCTTGCGTACACCGCGGCGCCTGTGCACGCCACACCGCCTGTGTACACCACAGCATGCGCGTGCAAAGCAGCGCTATTGTACACCACAGTGCCTGCGTGCATAGGACAGGTAGAAGGAGCCTGTACGTGATGATCTGCTGCGGAAGCGCCACGCCAGGAAAGTGCTGATAATCGAATGCGACTTTTTTCTCTTTTCCCTTCTCCTCCACTTCCACCTCCTCCTCCTCCTCTTCCTCCTCTTTCTCTTCCTCCTCCTCCTCCTCCTCCTTCCCCCTGTCGTGCGGGTTGGCGCTACAGCGCACGTGCGCAACTCAGCGTGCACCGCAGAATGGTCGATTGAATCGGCCCACTTGGTCCTCGGACGGTCACTTTAGCTGGAGCCTCCTGGACGCAGAAGGACTCGTAGATTCCCCTGGCGCTCCCTTGTCCAGAAGGATTCTTTTCAGGTGTTCTCGGTGGAATCCACAAACGCTCCATTTTGTCAGAATGAATCCTTCTAACATTCTACATACAACAGTGGTGCTGTGTTGCACACGGTTGCTGTGGTGCACACAAGCGCCGTGGTGTACACAGGCACTGCGATGCACGCAGGCATTGTGGTGTACACTGCTGTGTTGCACACGGCTGATGTGGTGGTGTACGCAGGCGTTGTGGTGTACACAAGAGCTGTTGTGCCCGCGCGCGTGGTGGCACAAACTGACGCTGTGTTGCACGCGGCTGCTGTGGTGTACATAGGCGGTAAGGTGTACACAGGCGCTGTGGTGCACGTATGCACTGAGGTGTACACAAGCGTTGTGGTGCAGATCGCCACCTACATGCTGGTGCCACCCGTCCTCCGTCATCCCCAGGCATTCCCAGGCGCCGCCGGCGCGAAGCGTGACGTCATCGACCCCCTTCCACCCCCCCCAGATGATTGCCGTCATCGGCCCGGAATAAAAAAAACAGGCTCCAGCCGCGTCCGCGCGCACGACGACGATGAGCGACGAGCGACGAGCCACGAGCCACGAGCGACGACGACGACGTCGACGACTGCGGAAAAAAACTCCTATGCGGATTCCTTCGCGGATCCCAATACGCACGGCAGCAATGTCCGGAGCGCACTGGGGGGGGGGGGAGGGTTACGTCATAGGGGGGGGGGAACCACGACGCCCGTCATGCCCCAAGCAATAAAGAAATGGTCGCCAGGGCTTCGTTGAAGCAGTCCTTCTCCGCCGTCTACTCGCTCTCCTCGTCAACTCTCACGGGCAACTTTTCTGAACGGTCTGGTGGGGATACGCGAAGCGTGAGTCATTACACTTTCGCTCAAACGAGGACTGCACATCTAGATCCAATTCCTGCATCGTCGCTGTGGCAACCCCCACATCCCCTGTTCTGCCTTCCCCTGGTTCACCTGCTCCTCTCGTGCCTCCCGCTGCTGTTCATACTCTTTCCTCATCTTCATCTCCCTCCTGCCCATACGCCTGTTCATCCGCCACCTCCTTCTCGTCCACCTGGCCAAACAGTGGTGTTCGTTCCTCGCCGCTACGCCGACCGATGGCAAAACAAAATTCCATGACTTGCAACCAGAGGGTGCAACACATTTCAATCCTGGGGATGCCAGATTGACCGTGTTTACTGCTAGACAGGGGACTTCTGAAGACAATGTATGGCACCGGCGGTGGCAAGGAAGGTTTTTCAGACCAGCTGAAATGCGAGGATGTGGATAATCAGCCCGCCTGGGAGGAAGTGCTTGTGCGCGTGGACGGACGGTTACACCCGATCGATACGCTTAACGCTGATGATGAGTGTGAAATATGTGCCACCATTTTCAGAGTGGTATGGAGCACTGGCGATCTGAATGAGGATAATCACCTCAAGCATGGGACACCTGGGCACGTTTCTGAAAAGCTGGCCAGAACAGCCTCGCGGGGAGAACGTGCTGGTCTTAGACCCTTGCTGAGAAACCTCATACACGCACGGGGATTGCATGGCCTTCGTGTGAGACGAATGGCGCCTCTTTCTGGAAGATGCCGAATGCCCTTCCAAATCCTCAAAAAATCCAAGCGCAGGCGACTCTGAAGAGCCGTTCGGGCCCCGGAGAGATGATGCTCTCACCGTTGGAAACACATCGGTCGCTCGCTTGGCCAACTCGGGTAAACTCAAAGTTTGCCTCCGACCGACGAGGAAGCAATCGCCTTTTTTAGGGGAGCGAACAATGACATAAACATGACAACTCGGAGGTCCACGCGGATTTCTCGGATCGGCGCTAAACCCCCCCCCTTGGCGCGCGGAGCGCGCCAGGGGCGGCGCCGGAGGCGACGCCAGGGGGCTCCAGCGCCGATCCAAGAAATCCGCGCAGACCTCAGAGTTTCTCAATGTTTATGTCATTGTTCGTTCCACGATCTGCCTGCCAAAGATGATGGCCACAGTTCGTGCGACGTCGGTCGTTGCCCACTGCTCGGCTCGTTGCCCGCCCGCTGCGCGGCCTTCCCTGCAGGGCCCCTCGCGCCCTGGTGCTTCCAGGCTCCGCCCGACAGCGCCTGATTGGACGGGGCGCCCGCGGGTGGAAATGCTCTCCAACAACTTATGGGAGCCCCCCTGTACATCCTGTTGGCTCTCGCGAATCGACGCTCTTCGACGCTAATCGGCGCCAAACCGATGCTAAGTCGACGCTGCTCGACGCTCATCGACGCTAACTCGGCACTATCGCATCGATGACCAGACGCAAATCGAGCGAATGCACTCTCAAGACAAAATGGCGAGGGTATACAAGGGCTCCCATGAGCTGCTACCAGAGACATGGCAGGCGCGTGCGACGAGCTGCACGAACCCGACCGATGGCCGATGCCCGTACGGAAATCTCAGACCCGACGCTGCAGGCCCTCCTCCGCGCTGCCCGCGCCCGCCCCCACGCCTCTGGTGTGTCTTCCGTGCCGCTCCCTGTCGTGTAGCCAAACCCTTTGTGTAGCCTAGGCCGCTGTGCATCATGGTGTAACTATCCTGCCCCGTTGTAGTTCATAGGCGAGCGCGTCCCACGGCTAGCAAAGTGACTACTCGTACATGGCCTGGCTCCGCCGAGGATGACGTACGACCCGCTACATCGAGGCAAACATACGTGTTTGTTTGGACGCTTGCGAGTAGTAACTTTGCGAGTAGTGGAACGCGCTCGGTGAGGTAAGGCGGCTCGCGCGCCCAGGGCAGCGACGCGTCGCCCGGGTATTGTGAACACTGTGCCAGTTTGGTGCCAGGGGGGCCCCACCGTGCCTGGGAGGAGTTTGCTCTCCTGGCCGCAAGAGATCAATATGTACCCAATCGACACAAATACGCGCTTTGTACCAGTATATCTTGTTTGAGCCGCAAGTCATTCGTGGAATGATCTATGAGGGAATTCGTGGAGGCAAGTGAGAGGAAGAGGAATCTGGGGAACAATCTCGGAGCGGCCGATGGCCCTAAAAAACGACGCGCGCTCTCCCTGGCCGTCGTGAAACGGAGGGCAAGCATTCCATCACACTTGGAGGCATTTCATCACCTTCGGCACCCCTCGCGCGTGAGGCCCGAATCTTGCTGCTGGCCCGCCGTAAATACGCCTGGCGGGATTCTTCCGCGATCCCCGAGACATCTGCGGCGCGCGGGGCTCGCCCGTCGCGGGGGCGCAGCAGGAATGCGCGGCACGCGCTGATGCGCGCCCGACCCCGGACCCCGCCTGAAGCGGCCCTGGAAACTTGCGCGACAGCTGGAAACAGCGGTCCATCGACGCGTGCGCTTCACCGCCGTGCCGCGCAGGAAATCGCTTTCGAACGCGGCCCCGCCCGACCCCACCGCGCCCGAAGCAGACGCCGCGGCGCCCACGGCAAACTCTGACGACAAACACGCAGCGCGTCCCTTCCGCGCATCTTTAGCGCTGCCGCTTCGGTTCGCACCACGTCGCACCAGTGAGATATGCATTGGGTAGCGCGGGCGAGAATCGGCGCGTCTGCAGCCGCGGCGACGCGCCGATCTCAAGGCGCGCGCAACTTCCCCACGCCTTTTCGGGTGCACCCTTGGACCGACTCGCGATTCAGTTCAAGGGTCGCGTGCAACTCCTCCTCCTCATCATCCGAAAACGAAGCGAATGTAAGATTTGGCAGCACATCGCTTCATGGGAAGATCCGAAATTCCACGCTCCACCCCACGCTTCGCCATCGTGACGCGACGAGAACGAGCGGGCACCCCGGCGGAAAAGGGCAATGATGACGAGGCGGGCTTTCAGTAAGGTCGAAGAGGAGGTCCCGCGCAACACCCAACAACCTTCTGGCCTGTGGTGGTTGGGGGGGGGTCCTGACCACTGTACCAGAATCATACACACCCCCTCCCCCACCCGACAAGCAACAAACCCGGAATCATGCCCCCCCTGCCATCCTCATCAAGAACAATACACGCTGCGCTTTGCACCGATATCTGGATCATGCGCGGACGCCCCGAGATCACGCAGCGACGGTTTCGACAAGGGCGGCGGGGCTGCCGGCATATTGCCTGCTGTGTGCAATCCCAATACCCCCTACCCCCTCGCAACAAAACCAATACTATGGACACGTTGCACCAAACTCGGGATCATGCGCGGACGCCTCGCGATGATTTCAGATGTGTTTTTGCAAAGGACGGCGCGGGTGCTGGCATATGGCCTGCTGTGTCCAATGCCCCCCTCCCCCAACCATCCCTTGCAACAAACAGTACACAATCTACTTTGCACAAAGACATGGGTCTCGCGCAGACGCCCCGCAATCACCTAGCATTTTTTGTGACACGGATTGCGTGATTCTGGCATATGGCCTGCAATGTGCAATGCCACCTCCCCAAACACCCCTTGCAACGAACTGTACACGTGCACTTTGCAGCAAAATCTGGATCATGCGCGGACGCCCCGCAATCACGCAGCATTGTTTTGCGAGAGGGGCGGCGGGGTGCTTGGAGATGGCCTGCGGTGTGCAATGCCCCCCGCGACCATCCTTGGCAAAACAACACTATAACGCACACTTCGCACCAAAATCTGGATCAGGCGCGGACGCCCCGCGATCACATTGCATTGCCTTTGACAACGACGGCGGGGGGGCCTGCACATTGCTTGCTGAGTGCAGGTCTGCCACCCTTGGTCAACAAGAAATGCAAGACTCACGCTGGCAAGGACGGCGGGTGGGGCGGCATACTGCCTGGTGTGGCAGGCCCGCCATCCCAGTCGAAACCGAGTGCCAAGTGCTTGCGGGTGCACACCCACACACACACACACACACACACACTCACACACACACACACTACACACAGCGCTCGCAAAACCGCAACCGTGTTGCATTGGTGTTCGAGGGGGATTGTGGAGCGGTCGACATATTGCCCACTGCAACGCGGCGCACCTCGCGGGCATCGCGCACCTGGCTGGCCCTGCAATGTTTCCCGATGGCTGTCACGGCTTGCGGCTTGGGGTAGATTGACGCCTCTCCCGACCCTCGCCTCCACAGCGGACCTCACTCCGCCCCCTGCACTGCCATGGAACACTTCGTCTGTATACAGTCTACACACCTAACCCCTGCAGAACCCAGCGAAGCCCTGCGAACATGCGCTGCCCTGCTATGCGCTGCATCGACCCTGCAATGCATTTCCTCCGCGTCGTCGCCGTCCTCCAACTCCTCCTCCTTCTCATCCTCTTCCTCTTACCTTTTCCTCCTACCCCCCCACCACCCCTACACTGTCCCCCCTGTCCCATTGCCTGGCGCTCCTCGGGGGTACCTGGGGTTGTTTAGGTTCCAGAAAATGCCAACCAGTTTAAATGCGAAACCAAGTCCAAGCGATGCATACAAGTGCCCTGCACTGCTGCAATGCAGGGCAAATGCCTGCATCGCCAGCATGGCCTTGCAAGTCCATTGCAAGGCCATGCGGGCGGGTGCGAGTCAGCATCACCAGCCCAGGCAGTGCCAACTGGTGTCAATGCGAGACCAGTAAGCGATGCAAGCGGTTGCCCTGCATGGCGAGGTCATGCGGGCGGGTGCGAGCCAACATCGCCAGCCACAACGCTGGGATCAATTTGCGCATGACAACGTTGTAGGCCAATCGGCCTGAAGGATCTTAGGGCCCTTCTGCAAACGCTCGCGTCTGGTTCCCAAACCCGGGCTAAGTCACACTCCATGTGGGCACCTTACGTGTTTGTGCAGAGCAGTGCCTGAGAAGCTACGACTCTACACGCTCGGGATTGCTTAACCAGATGCACATGTGTTTGTCAGATCGATCAATATGACTCAAGCAGTTGCATTGTCGGGCCTGGTTGTCCAGCTTCTTCCGATGACAAGTCACACGCTCGGACCTGGTTGCCCAGAGCAAACTAGAAAATGGCATGCTCAAGTGCGATTGCCAAGCCTGTGCTGGCATATGTGACACGCTCGGGCCTGATTCTCCAGCGTTAGCAATGCCACAATACTTCAGAACTTGTTTGTGCATCTGTCGTTGTTCGGATTCTTGCTGAGGACCTTGTCTTCTAATTTGTATCGGGCCAGGTCCATGTGGTTTGGTCTGCGTGCCCACTCACCTTGCAACCACACCATACATACTGTATGCATGTATATATATATATATATATTCACACGCGTCGTTGTCTCCACTGCGCTGCTTCTTGCCTGTCAATCTCATCCGACGTGCACAATGCGATAGTCGCCCCCGCTTCTTCCCACTCCCTCGGCCTTCTCCCCCTCTCCTCCCCGTTGCCCCTCTGCTCTCCTCCCGCCCACTCCCGCATCCCCCTCCCTCCCTCGCTCCCGCGTCCTCCCTCCCCTGGGTGAGCACGGCCGAGCGTCGTCAACCTGCGCCCGACCTCCCTCCTCCCCACCTTCCCACTCTGCCGTCATCCTCGCCGTCCTCGTCGTCGGCATCCTCGCCATCCTTCCTCCCCGCGCGCGCCAGTCAAGGGGCGCGCGGGGGGGGGCACCACACTTTCTGGGGCCCGGCGCAATGCTCCGATCCTATGTACGTCTTCGCGCCCCTGATCAGGAGCCTGGCGCGGCTGTACCCTGCGTCGCCCCCCCCCTAACCCCCCCCTCCATCGCCATCCTCGCTCCGCCGCTCCGCCCGACCTGTCCATGTTCTACCCCTGCTCATCCTCTCCCGCAGTCCCTAGAAGTGGGTGTCACCGCAAGACCTCACAGAGGAGCTTAGTGGTGCACCAAGCACCGATCTCCAGCAGGCAAGCAGCCCCAAGTCCTGCCATTCAAGCGCTCGAATCACCATAGCGGAATCGACCCCTGCAGAAGCCGTGCGATGGTCACCTTCCCCCTCCCTCCCGCCCTCCCTCCCACATCCCAAATATCTGGCGCTCCTATTTCGTCGATGCGTGTTGCGTGGGACCCTGGACCTCTCGACCGCTTCCCCCTGGCTGGCTGCCCATCCCGAGTCGAGGTTGACAGCCCCGAGGACCACAACAGGCCTCCTCATGCAACACAAATGCGGACAGACATGCCGCCTCGATGTCTGTCGAGGCGCCATATGCATGGGACGGTCCCAGGCCATGCATAGTGCAGAGCACGTGGAAAGGGCGGCATTGGCATCAACGTATATGTTCGGAGGCCAGCGCGGTCGGCGCTCGACCCCACTTCGACGGGCGCCCTCTGCTCGGTCGGACCGACACGGGGGTACGGGGGGCGTGAGCGTTACAGTGGGGGCCTGACCACAAGGAACCTCCCACGAGAAGCCCAACCCTGGAACCCCGGGACGTCCACTGACTCTTGGCGCGAGAGCGTCGCGCTTTCCATCGCCAAGGCACCGAAACCCCAGAAACCCAGGGCACCCTGGAGGCACGCGGGGTGCTCCCCGGGCATGGGCCTCCACTATGTTCCCCACCGTCTTGGCCCGATCTTGCACACGGACGACAGCCCGGGCCGCGGCGGGGCGCCAGAAATAGATGGGAACGGTGAGCACCTGCGCCGCTGGGCCGCGCGGGGGCCCCGCTCCTCGTCGTCGCCGCCCGCCGTCATGGTCGCCGTCATGGTCGCCGTCGTCGTCGTCGTCCTCGTCGTCGTGGCCATCGCCCAAATCCTCCATCCCTCTCCCTTTTTCCGGCCTATTCCTGAGCCTCCTCCGCCTCCTTCCCTCAGTCATCTTACGTCCTTCTTACTCTCCTTCGCACCTCTCCTTTCCTGCGTGTTCTAATTCCTCTCAATCTCCCTTGCCTTTCCCGTCCTCCTCCCTCTCTCCTGCTCCTACTCCTCCTCCTTGTCCCCTCCTCCTCTTCCTCCTCCTCCTCCTCTTCCTCCTCCTCCTCCCTCCTCCTCCTCCTCCTCCTCCTCCTCCTCCTCCTCCTCCTCCTCCTCCCCCCCTACCCTCGTATTCCCTCAGCCTCCTCATATTCCTCCGCCGCTGCCTCGCCCTCTGCATCCACATGTTGCTCATCTCCTTCCCCACCCGTCCTGCACTCCTCCGCCCCCCCTCCCACGCCGCCGCCTTTGCCCACGCGCTGGCCTCCGCCCCTGCTTCCGCTCACCGCACCCGTCCGGCAACCACCCCCGCCTGTGCCCCCTCCCCCGCCTCCCTGCCCCTCCCTCCCTGCCTCTCCCTCGCTTCCCCTGCCATTCCTCCTCCTCTTCCCCCCCCTCGTCCTCCTCCTCCGCCTCCCCTCCCCTCCTCCTCCTCCTCCTCCTCCTCCTCCTCCTCCTCCTCCTTCTGCTCCTCCCCCGCCTCCCTTCCCCTCCCTCACTGCCTCTCCCTCGCTTCCCCTGCCGCTCGCACAAACACTCCGCTGCCCCGTGCCCCGCCAATCCTCTCCCGCGACGGCGACGAAGCGCGGCGACCGACGGGCGACGACTGCCCGCGAGACACCCGGCAGCGCGAGTCTTAAGTCGGGCTTTTCGCTCTACACAAGAAATGCTCAAAAATAGTCGGATGACGATTTTTCGACCTTTTTGCAACATTTGTCTGGAATCGTTATATCTTTCGCCCAAAAACCGCCTGTATAGGGGGACAAGCCCGACTTAACGCGAGTCGGGCGATACATGGGGGGCGGAGAAACGTGCACCTCTCGGGGTCGTCTAGGGCTCTGGAGATGCACACTTCTCCCCCCCATGTATCGTCGTCCCCTCATCACGCAACGCCCGAGCGAGGGCGACCACGCTGCTGCCCCACCCGCTCCCCGCTACCCGTCGGTCGGAAGAAATAGATAGACGTACGAAGCAGGAGGGCATCGAAATAGATTGGGCCTCCGCCCGTCACCTGGAGAGGAGGGATAACGGAACACCACTCGATCCTTCAAAGTAGGAAGGCGCCGAAAGCAGATTGGGAATCCGGGAACCCAGATGCACCTGCTTCCAACGACCGACGTGGACGCCTCTCCCACGACGGCGACGAAGGGCGGCGTCCGACGGGAGACGACCGCCCGCAAGCCGCCGGGCAGCACGATCGGGAGCGGCCAAGAGGGGGGGGTCCAAGAGGAGGGGGTGCAAATCATGGCCGGCGGCACGCGCGCGGCCCAGCGGGGGGACCGGGAACGTAATGAAACAAGAAGAGGCGCCATGAGATCTGGGGAGATATCATGGCCCCCCGCCATGATATCCACACACCCCCATGTCATCACCCCCCTCTTTTCCGCCTCCGACACGAGGCACAGAGGCGAGGAGGCCCGGGCGCCGTGCAGCAGACGGCCAGCAAGAGCCTGCGCTGGAGCCGCTGCAGCAGAACCGCCGTGCGCGGCGTCGGCACGTCCTCGATCCTCGCCGCGCGCGCGCCGCGCCAGGCTCGCGCCCTGGCCGGCAGGCCTCTCCTCCTCCTCCTCCTCCTCCTCCTCCTCCTCCTCCTCCTCCTCCTCCTCCTCCCTGGAGGGCTCTCGCCGCGCTCGGGGCCAGGGGGGGGGCCTGCCACGGGCCCACGGGGACGTCGAGACAGCGGCTGTGGGAGCGAGAGCTGGTCCTGGGGAGCGTTCCCCCGGGGTCTGGAACCTGTTTCCCTCAGGACCCCTTTATGGCGACGAGCGGAGGATGATGATGATGATGATGATAATGATGATGATGATGATGATGATGAGGAGCAGGAGGAGGAGGAGGAGGAGGACAAGCAATAACAAGGACGACGACGACAACGACGACAGCGATGACGATGACAAGTGCGGGCAGTACTTCTGTCCGTATCCACTGCAGTATGAAATTTCGGGCTCTTCTCCCAAGAAACTCGAGGCGCACTGGGGCAAATTTATCCATATACACTGCGCCTCGGCCGTGTGGCGCCCCTTCCAAGAAAATCCAAGACGCACTGGATATGGATATAAATCTTGACCGCAACAGGGAACCATTTCCCTCAGAACCCCCTTGCTTCATGGCGAGCGTGCGTGCCGCGCGTGCTCGCGCCGGCAAGCCTCTCCGCGCGCGTGAGGTGGGGGGCGGTCTGGTGCTGCTTCTCCTCCTGTCGCTCCTAAGATCTTTGCGGCCTCGGACTCGGCCCCTTGGCCGTGGGGGCGGACTTCGAGGCGACCCCGTGCCAGCTCCCTCGCTGCGGTTTGCGGCTCGCACAGGCGCATCCTTCGGTGGTGCGATTGGCGCATGCAGGGAGGAGGAGGAGGAGGAGGAGGAGGAGGAGGAGGAGGAGGAGGAGGAGGAGGAGGAGCGAAGCGTACGACGACGACGACGTCCCCGCCTAGGGCGCTCCTGCGCCAACAGCACGATCTGGTCGCACCAGTCTTAGATCCCGTAGTGCCGCCCTCGCGGCCGAGGGGAGACGGTGTGGGACCTGATCGGCGGGCAGTGTGCGAAGTGAATGGTATATGTGTACATCTATATAAAGTGCTTCTAGTGTGTGGACGGTGCAGCGCGTGACTCCCCAGCGCTGTAAAGGATCGGAGGCGAGAGCGCGATTCCCCAGCACGGTCGACGTGGCCGCGGCGAGGCGAGAACAAACAGAATAGTGGCACTGTCTGTCGAGGCTCTCTAAACATCAAAAAATGCAAAAGTCCTGGCCCTCGTGCCGACAGGATACGATGAGACGTCAACCAGCCTCCAGCCAGCGTGCGAATCCATGCCCACGCCCACGAGGGCGGGACCGAAGAAAGAAGGGTGCGGGTCGGCTCAAAGTCAGCCTCATCAATCTCCTCGATACGGTCAGGCCACCACTTTTTCAGGCGCTCACGGAACAGATTGACAAGCACAGCTCTCGGAAACATGCCACAGCACGCTTGATACGCAGCTCTCTGAACTTTCTGTCGGGGACGGGCATCTCGGGCAGCCTTGGCAGCGTGAGAAGCAGCGGCAGCAAGATGATTTCCAGAGCCTCTGGCCGCCTCATCCCAAAATTCAACGAACGCTTTGCATTTCCAGTGCTTAGGGTATTTCAGATGCTCAGGGACGACGGTCAATCGGCAGTTATCTTTCGCCTCACCCTCAGACGTGCATTTTTTCAGCCAAGCAAGTGCCGCTTGGTAGTCAGGGACAGTCTGAATTGCCATCCGTGCTAGCGCCGCCGTCGACAAGGGTAAGAGAGCGGTGGCTCGCGGACCATTCCACTCCACGAGGGCAATCCAAGCAGGCGCGCTGAACGTGCCGAGAGGGACCCTGAACGCAGAGGCGAGGGCACCAAGCTCCAGCTGCAGTGCTCGACGAGGGAGAGGAAGGTATTGCATGACATAGCTTAGGACAGGTAGAGCGCGAATTTGATAAAGTCGTCCTGATACCGAAGTCGCTTGGGCCCCTTGGCCGATCGCTTTTGCCCTGGATTGGTATTTGCCACACGGCTTAGTCCAGGAGTCTTCCAAACGCGCCCCAGGTCCAACCCACATCCCAAGGTAAAAGAGCTTATCACTGATCTGGAAGGCCGACCACGACGGAAGCACGAGCTGAATATACGTACGAATGCGCTCCTCGATCTCTGGCGTGAACTCCGACGCCACTGGGGCGATGAAACACTTGGCCGCCTTCAAACACAGGTGCGCAACCCGAGCCGAAACAGACATAATACGAGCAAGTGGACGTAGGCCTTGCAACGTCCGAAACACTCCTCCGATATCATCTGCACATGCTCGACTGAGACCGTTCTTGGGGCGTTCGATGGAGACGAAGAGGTCATGAAGAGTCGGGGTAAGAGCGATAGCAAATAAAGAGCCAGAAAGGGCATCCCCTTGGATAATACCAGACCGAAGCCAGAAAGCATGTATCATATTTCCACAACATGACATGGCCCCCTCGATGGCCGCATATAAGATTCCCACACATGCCAGAAGGGCCCCAGGGCACTGCATAGCATGAAGAACAAGAAAAATATATTCTTGGGATAGGCTAGGAAAAACATGTCCATAATCAAATGCAAATGGACGAGGGCATTCTTCATCGGCTTCGGGGCGGCGCGAAAATCCACGGGCAACGACGTCCAGCTCAGCAACATTCATGGCGAAGTTGCGGCCTCGCATGAAGCCGTGCTGCGATGGTGGCACAAAGGCGTCCAGAGGTTTCCGAAGCGCCGCATTCACTGACGCCGTGATGATTTTGTAGCCGGTATTCCGAGGGCCCAGAACCCTGACAGAGTTCACATCCCGATCACATTCGCCTGCCTGTGTATCACCATCGCACTCTCCTTTCGGCAAGAATGCCTGCAGCGTGAGGCTCTCGCTCGCATACGGGGCCACGCCCGTAAACATGTCCAGCATTACATCGTGGAGGATCCCCACTCCGAAGTCGCGTTCAGCCCACGCTGCATAGCAGAGACGGTCACAGCCAGGTGCAGAGTCAGAGGCACGAGCGACGATCTGTTTCATGAGCTTGAACGAGGGGGGAGAGACCACAGAGAAGTCGACGGGCTTGACGAAACGGTCGACATATCGACTGGCAGCAGCACGATCCCATGGCTTGCGAGCAAAGACTTGTCCCCAATGACGCCCAGGAGCACGACAGCGAGCCTCAGGACCGCCCACAGGCGCCCCATCCACAACAATGTCACGAAGAACCATACGTCGAGCGAAAGGCACCCAGATACGAGCACGACGATCGAGAGCTCTCATACGTTTCCGAAGCTGATTCTGTCCCACGGCATTCCCACCTCCTTCATCTCCCCATACCCGCTACTTGTGCAAGCTGTGACCGTAGAGCTGCCCTGTCGATTTCCGCGGCATTGAGCTGCTGCAAGTTGCACCACTGCATGAAGGATGCTGCGTGCACTAGCTCGACCCGCGTGCCGCTTACTTCTAAAAAGTCGGCCGCTGCAGAGTGAGATCCCAAGAGCCGAACAGCAGCCTGGACATCTTGTCTCCAAACAGCGCGCGCAACAGCTCTGGCGACCAAAAAGCAACGTGCGTGGGTCATGGGGATGGCGAAAGAGAAGCCGATCACGCGCCTCACGACTGGCTTCAGTCAGAAGGTACTTGTAGCGTTCCAGCCTTGGGGCCGAGCTCATCGCAGCCAGATGAGGTCGCTCGATTTCCAGATATTTCTCAAGGATCTCTCTGAACTCACGCGCGGCACAGATGTGTTTGGGGATAGGGCGGTCTCCAGGAGCAGGAGGACAACGCTGGCGAAACAAGACGACATGTGCAGCATGATCACTCACTTTCAGCCTGGACAACGTCTCTGGGTCACCTTCTACCTTCGCCGTCACAGTCATCGGAGTCAAGACCCAGCCTGGCCACGAGCACCAGAACCGATCTATCGCCGCCACCGCGTCTGCCTTCGCATCGTAATGCGCGGCAGCAGAGCATGTAATCTCAACGAGGGAATCGAGAGTGGGAGACCACACTGGGGCTCTCGCGTGGAGAGGGCGAGGAATCCTCTGGGCCTCAGATGGCTGCGAGAAGCTCAGCTTTTCCTCAGAGGCAAAGTTGAAATCGCCATGCACGACAACGAGACAAGATTCTGGGGAGGCCTCCGACAAACATCTATCCTGGGTTATCGCACCGCACACGTCCCGAATTTGATTTTGTGTTAAATCGTGATTATGCACATTCCAACGGATGAGCGTGGTTTCCCCATCGGAAAAGCAAGCTCTCAAAACTCTGCCAGGAACATAGACAGAGGGAGTGGCAGTGACACCAGGAGGAGGAGAGGTCAGGCCATTTTGGAGGACTCCAGGGACTACCGTGGCTACCCCACCACGGACACGCCCCTCGGGATCTTCCCCGCAGAAGCTCGAAAAGATCAGAGCGCCTGGGGGGATCTTCTTGAGGATGGATTCTAGCTGGGTGAGATCTTGACGGGCCTCCTGGAAAGCAGAAACTGATGAGCCTAAACACAGACGCTTCATGTATCCCAGCTTCACCGCAGCATGCTCACCTTCATACTGCAACAAAGCCCTGCAATTCCAAGAATTAAATCTCACACCCCCTCGCGCTTCCGCATCCTGAAGAGACGGCAGCGGGGAGACAGCAAAAAGACGAGTGAATTGGCTAAAGACAACACTGCGGTTCCTGGTCAGGCTCAATCGCGCTGGCGATCGCACCTGCGAGCTCAGCCTTCGAGAGGTTGAGCTTGTTGAGCGTCGCTTGGTTCCACTTGACCTGCGTCGGCGTGCGGCCCTCCGAGACATCCAGCTTGAGCAGCGGGTCCCAGCCGATGGAGAGCCACCCCCGCTCACGGTCCAGGAAGACACGGTGGGAGTTGCCGAGGTGGTTCGCGAGCAGCGTGCGAACCTTGCGGCCTGTGACCTCCAGCTTGATGGTGCGCGGGTTCTTGCCGCCACTGGTGTGCAGCTTCGTGACACCTTCGCCACTGCGTGCAAGTGCTTCGAATTGACGCCAGCCGT